AAATATGTTTTCATAGCTTTTGAAAAATTACTATACATCCCCTTCCCAAGTTTTACTCAAAACCTTTCATTTTGACATTCTGTTTCATTTATTGTAAAGCTAATGTTTTTAGTGTCCTACAAAACTCTACTTAAGTCCTGCCCCAGCTCTTTCTGGTGTCTTTCCAACCTCCTCATTTACTACTTTTCTTCTTGATCATTATGCTTCAGCCACTCTGGCATTCTTACTATTTCTTGAATATGTGAAGCATACCTTTGTCTCAGGCCTGTTGCATTAGCTGTCCTGTCTGTCTGGAATGTTCTTGACATCCAGATATCCACAGGCTTCACTTACTTTTCTCCTTCAAGTTTTTGCTCAACTGTCATCTTCTCAGTGAGGGCCACCCTGGTAACCTTGCTTAAAATTGCCATGTCACCTACTTCAATTCTCTCTTATTTTGTTCCTTCTCTCTCTCTTTGTATATATTTTTAGAGATAGGGTCATTTTCTGTTGCCCAGGCTGGGGTATGGTGGCATGATCATAGCTCACTGTATGTAGCCTTGAATTGCTTGGCTCAGTTGATCCTCCTGCCTCAGCCTCTTGTATAGCTAGGATTACAGGCATGTGCCAGCATGTCCAGTTAATTAAAAAAATTTTTTTAAGAGATGGCGTCTCACTATGTTGTCCAGGCAGGTCTTGAACTCCTGGCCTCAAGTGATCCTCTCACTTTGGTCTCTCAAAGTGTTGGGGTTATGGGCATGAGCCACCATGCCTCAATCTATATTTTTTCCCAGAGCACTTATCACTGTCCAAGATACTGTATGATTTACTTATTATCTGCCCACTCTTTCCTTACTAGAGTATAAAATCCATACACTTGATTTTTTTTGAGACAGGATCTTGCTCTGTCGCCCAGGCTAGAGTGCAATAGTGTTATCACAGTTCACTGCAGCCTAGAACTCCATGTTACCCTGTGGAGTAGTGCACACTATCACATCTGGCTAATTTTTGTATTTTTTGTAGAGAGGGTTTTGCCATGTTGCCCAGGCTGGTCTCAAATTCCTGAGCTCAAGCAATTCTCCTGCCTCGGCCTCCCAAAGTGCTGGGGTTACAGGTGTAAGCCACCATACCTGGCCAAGATTTTAATCTGTTTTATTTAATGATGCAGCCTCAGTGCTTACAGCAGTAGTTGGCATAGAATGCTTAATAAATATTTGTTAAATGAACAATTGAATGAATGAATAAGTTCTTATTTCTTCAGAGGTTTTCTGACATATACAGCAGTAGATAGAAGAGTCCCTTAGTGTATTATCATCAGACAGTGGCCCTGGTATGTAGTGGATAGATCCCGATTTATGTGAGTGATTATATAGTCAGTACATTTTTGGTAGAGTGAATTTCTTATGGTGATTCTTGAATATCTTTTTGTTTTAGCTTACATATTCTTCTGTTTTAGCTTATATATTTTTAGATTTTTTTTTTTTAGGTGAATGGGGATCTTACTAGGTTGCCCAGTCTGGTCTCAAACTCCTAGACTCAAGAGATCCTCCCACCTCAGCCTCCTGAGTAGCTGGAACTATAGGCACATGCCACCACACATGGCTGTATTCTTAGATTTTGGGGGTAATTTTTTCCTTTTCATTCTGGGAATTTTAAGATATAAACTAAAGTGGAGCTTTAGCAGTTAACAACACACAGCTAGCCTTACTCCTTGCTCACAGCCATCTCCCGAAGATTATTTTGAAGCAAAATGCTATGGTGGGGAGAAAACATATCATTTCAGTTACAAGTTATCTGAAAGGTTTTTGATAGACTTGAATATTGTTGAAACTCTTAATGTTGTAGCTCATGATTTGTTCCAAAATATGATTAAGTCCCTACTAAAGCAAGTCACACATATTTAGAATTTTACTGTATTTTTATTTTTCCCTCTAAGATCTAAACCGGTTTTCTTATTTACATTTGATCTAAACGTGACTTTCCCCCTTTTCACTATAAAGATTTTTTTTTTTTTTCCTAAGAAAAAAATCTATGAGCACTGTGTTGGCCTGGCCTCAAACTCCCAGACTCAAGCAATCTTCCTGCTTCAGCCTCCTGAGTAGCCGTCAATGTATTTATAAGAAAAAAAACAACAACAAAATTCCTCCTTAAGGTATCTGCTTTTCATACAAATGGACTTTTTAATAAGTGACTGGATACTTAAAGAGAAAAAGCGATTTGTTTTTAGGGTAGTAGGATTATGGGTAATATTTAATTTTTAAAAATTAAACTATTTTTATTATTACTACTAAAAGTAAAAAGCATTTTGTAATTGAGGGTTCTCTACTTATCTGTGCAATATGAGATGACCAAATCAGTGGTGCATGAGAAGGGTCAATTTTTTTGTACAAATGGCTGAAGAAGCTGGATATAACACTTTGTTCAGAGCCAATGAACTGTGATTTTTATCTGAAAGGTTATAGCTTATTTTTCAAGCCTAAATTCTCTCTGTGCTATGGGGTTACTTCAGGCAGTCTCAATGTATGACCAAAGTCTAAGTGTTTAATCTGCTGTTATTATAGTCCCCTATAATTCATAAGTATGTTTTTAGATTGAGGAGGGGAGGAGGAAGCAAACATTTTGTGTGACTATCATAGTTTGTACATTATTAAAATGAAGTACAGTTAATTAAAATGTTCTAAATTAGAGAAATATCTTATGTGTGAATTTTAATATATTATTAAACTGTTAAATTTAGTCTTCATTATTTTCTTAGCTTACCAGTTGTGAAAGTGAATAACAAATTGGCTGTTTTCTGTTAACTAAATTATAGTCCATGTTAAGGAACCTCTTCTGCCTAGAAACATTTGAAAGTTTTAAGTGCTGACTAGGAAATTTTAAAATGTTATATTATCTTAAAAAGATTTTCTTGACAGACAAATCAGCATCTCTGCCAGTTTTTGTATCATTATTTTTGGCAAGATAATTAGCTGTAATGCCAGAATTCAGATATATGGTAGCTGGAGTTATAGATGATCCAAAAATGTATTCTCAAACTGTGATTTATCGCTTAACCATAGGAAGTAGGATGTGGATTACAAATAACTAGGTGTATACATAGTTTTAAAGCTATCCAAATAAAAATAAGTAGCCTAATAAAAGGATGAGAGCTTTTGAACTATAATCGCTTTGATTATTTTAAGTTAGCAGAACATTCCAAGCCTTAGCACTCTGTCAAGATTTTGGCAGTACATAATGGTATATATACAGTACAGTAATGCTCAGCTTTTCTTGAGGGAAAAGGTATAACTTTGGACAGTTTCTGGCATATGCATCTTTTACCTATGAGGGAGTAGTTGAAGTTACAGCTGAAAGGAGTTAACTGATAGAATACGGTTTCTGAGGAGCTGGTTGGTAAGGCCAACAAATCGTTGTTCATAAGGATGCTGGCAAAGTGGATGAGGAGGGACTGAAATTGTGTGCTTAGTCTGCTAAGCTTGTGCCCTTGTGTAGAGATTGTGTACCTAGAGAAGGAGCCTTTCTCTTACAAAGTGTAACAGCATGAGCTCTGAGAGGCTCTGGTGGACAGAGATGAGTTCCAGAGGTCAGAAGTGATTGATTCCTATTCCATAATGACAGTTGGAGTGTAGAAAGATGTAGAGTCTCCTTCAAATATTTGTTTAGTATTTTATTCAGGGTAGGAAGATACTTGCTTTCTAGTAAAAAAATTGCATACCTCTATATGTTCATAATAAAAGATTTATTAACATGTACAGAACATAGCTTAATATTTTAATTTATATTTTAAAAACTCATTGATTTCCTACCACTGAAAATTAGGTAGCATTATTTATTCATACTCATTAAGGATTGGGGTAAGGGCCTATACTTGATCTGACTCCTCTCTCCCTTTTTGAAGTCATCACCAAAAATTTATTTCCTTGTTCATTTCAGCCACAGAGAGGTCCTTGTTTCTGTTTTTGGTACTAGCCATTTCCTCTGTTTAGAATGTTCTGTTCTCTACTGTATCTTTGCATGGTGGTTTCCTTTTTATCCTTTAGGTCTGTTGTACCTCAATGTGGCTTTTCCTTACTTTTTTTTTTTTTTTAAGCAAAACAAAAGCACAGATTTATTGAAATAAAAGTACACTCCACAGGTTGGGAGTAGGCTCCAGCAAGCAGCTCAAGAGCCCTGGTTAGAGAATTTTCTGGGGTTTAAATATCCTCTAGTGGTTTCCCATTGGTTACTTGGTTATACCTTAAGTAAATGAAAACCTGGCCCTCAGCCAGACTGATTGGTTGTAGGAGGGGACCAGTCAGAGGTACTTTTCAATTTTCATCTGTAAGGCAGTGGGAAGGGGGGACTGCGAAGGGAATAGCTTCCTCTTTTTTTTCCTTTGTAGACAATGAGGAACTATTTATTGAAGCCAGATGCTTACTTTTAATCTCTATAGGCAACCTCTTCATCCCTAGTCTTCTCTATATATCCCCCTAAGTTTTTCTAAAAATAGTGCTTATTACTATATATCATCTTCATTTATATGTTTAGTATCTGTTCCTCCTAGAATGTAAATCCCCCAAGAGCAGGGACCTTGTTTGTCTTGTTTACTATTATATCCTTGGTTTCTCAGAACTGTACTTGGTACTCAATAATATTGTTGAATAAATTATTAAAGTTGAAAAGTCTTGTTCAAAATATGTTTTCAGGTTACTTTTTAATGGCTTTTTGTTGGCAACATGCTTCTCACTTTTATTTTGTTCTTTCATCAGTTTTCTTGTGCTGTTTTCTGAACCAGACAGCTTCCTGTGAGGCATATTAAAGATTTCAAATTTAAATTTAAAAAAACAAATTACTTGCGCCTGGTAAATAGCACCATACAATGCATAGTTTAAGTTTTCTGCGGATTGTGACTATCTTTTTTTTTTTTTTAATGTGAACCAAAGATTTATTTATTTCTTTCTTGCATTTGAAGTACTCTTTGATGATATCCTTGGCCTGAGACTCCTTGCCATAGTCCTTAACTACTACACAACTGCAACCAGTCACTTTACCAGCCTTCCCCTCTCTGTCAGTTTACAGAGGCCTACCCATTCCCCTAGTTTCTTGTTGTCATCAACTTTAATTAGGTTGATTTGGTGTTCAGCACAAAGGGCCTCTACCAACCTGACATATATAGGCTCATCACAGTTGGATGCAAGCACACCAAGATGGGCTTGGTGCTTGTCTAAGGCTTTGGCAGCTTCGCGAATTCCACGTGATAGGCCATCGTGGATGAGGGCAGTCTTCAGCACCTCTTGTAAATCAGTAATCACGTCCATTACACCTCCAGCAGCAATGCCTTCCTCGGCCATGGCTATGGGTTACAGGTGAATCCGAATCTTGAATGCACCCAAGCCTCCACCTCCGCCTCTGCCTCCGTGACTTGGTGGCAGGGAAAGAGTGACTATCACTTTTAAGTCCCTGTTAACCATCTGGATCAGGATTGGTGGCACTACCTTCAGTAGCACTATATAATCTATTAAATAGATTCAGTCTGCAAAGATACTTGATGGAGATAGCTTGATGTTGGCAAAGGTATTTAAAAAAAATTTTTTTGGCTGGGTGCAGTGGCTCATGCCTGTAATCCCATTACTTTGGGAGACCCAGAAGGGTGGATCATGAGGCCAGGAGTTTGAGACCAGCCTGGCCAACATGGTGAAACCCGTCTCTACTAAAAATTAAAAAATCAGCTGGGCGTGGTGGTGGGTGCCTATAATCCCAGCTACTCAGGAAGGTGAGGCAGGAGAATCACTTGAAACTGGGAGGTGGAGGTTGCAGTGAGCCAAGATTGTGCCACTGCACACCAGCCTGAGCTACAGAACCAGACTCCATCTCAAAAAAAAATTTTTTTTTTTTCTAAATGCTTTCAACTTTGAGGACTTAAGGACCATTACACATTTGCCTGGTTATGAAGCAGTTACATTAAATAGTCCTTTATTATCGTTTTATTCCAGTGGTGTTATAGTGCCTTTTGAAGACTGGTCTCAGACTTCTATTTGGTCAGTGAACCCTTTAATCCAGCTCTGAGAAATGGATAGGTGTGGCTATGTGTCACTTTAAGTGTGATAGCAAGAATTGGAGGAGTTCTTGGCTGATATCTTTTATTATCAGTGAATTAGGAGGCAAGGTCATTTGCTGAGACCAAGTAGAGAAATAGCAGGATGGGAGGTGTGAGGAAAGTAAAGAAGAATGGGAGGAAACTGACTAGGGAAGTGAAGAAGGATTATTTGGTAGAGCTGAGAACCAAACTGAGATAGGTAACTATGCATTTTTAGTGGTACCAATCTTACGTTCATTTTTGTGAACAACTGGAATGGTAAATAACAAACACTTCCTTGAATTCTTTAGTATATGGTTGGCAGTTGAAATAAAAAATAACACCGTCTAATGGGGTTTTCAATGTGTGTAGATATATAGTGAGATAACTAACACAAAGGAGAGGGCAAAATGACCTAACTGATGGCAATGTTTCTATACACTCTAATTGTTAAAATTGTGATTCTAGGAAGACTGAGTAGTTTTTATTGTAATCTCTAAAGCTACCAGTAAAAAAGATATATAGTAATAACATAATAGGTGAATTTAAATCAAATACTAAATACTCAAATTGTCAAAAAGGCAGGAAGTGAGAAACAGGAAAATAGAGGAGACAAACATAAAACAATAAAATGGTAGCTCTAAATTCAAACATATCTATATCTACATATATACGTAAGTGGTCTAAATATAAGAACTAAAAGACATTAATTGTCAGATTCTATAATAATAACAAAAAGATCTCACTATTCTGTCTATACAAGTAGCCCACTTTAAATACAGTGATAAAGACAGATTAAAAGAAAAGGATGGAAAAAGATATACTGTGTAAATACTAATCAAAATGTACTTGGTACCTCATTAAATAGATTTCAGAGCAAGGAAAATTAGTAGGGGCATTACATACTGATAAAGGGGTCTATTTGCCAAGAAGACTATCAATTTAAAATATATATGTACCTAACAACAGAGCTGTGAAATACATGGAGCAAAAACTGGTAGAAAGGAGAAATAAGAATATCCACTTGTAGGTGGAGACTTCAACATTCTTTTCCTATCTACTCCAATCACTATCCTAAGTGATAAGAGAAAGGCCAGGTGCAGTGGCTCATACCTGTCATCCTAGCACTTTGGGAGGCCGAGGTGGGCAGATCACTTGAAGTCAGGAGTTCAAGACCAGCCTGGCCAACATGGTGAAACCCTGTTTCCACTAAAAATACAAAAATTAGCGAGGCATGGTGGCACACACTGTAGTCCCAGCTATTTGGGTGACTGAGGCAGGGGAATTGCTTGAACCCGGGAGACAGAGGTTACAGTAAGCCAAGATCATGCCAGTGCACTCCAGCGTGGATGACACAGTGAGACTCTGCCTCAAAAAAGGAGAGAAAATCAATTAGAATAACACCATCAGTCAGCTAGGTCTAATTGAATTTAAAGAACATATCACCCAACAGACCCAAATATATGTTCTTTTCAAATGTTCATAGAACATATACCACGATCAGGGGTCAGCAAATATTTTGTGTAAAGTGCCAGATAGTAAATATTTTACACACTGTGAGCCATGTGGTCTCTGTCACAACTACTCAGTTCTGTCATTGTAGTGCAAACTCAGCCTTAGGTAATTCATAGTCACATAAATGAGTGTGACTATGTTCTAATACACGTTTATGCATGGACTCTGAAATTTGAATTTCATGTAATTTTCACATTATGAAATATTGTTTGATATTTTCAGCCATTTAAAATGTAAATATAATCTCTAGTTCATGGGCCATACAAAAATTTTTTGGGGCTGGATTTAGTGCATAGTTTGTGCTCCCCTGACCAAGATAAATGATACTCTGGTTCATAAAATCATAACACATTAAAAAAAATTGAAATCATACAAAATCTGTCCTCTGACAGTAATAGATTTAAGCTAGTAAAAATATCAAAAAAGATGTCTGGAAAGTCTGCAAATATTTAAAAAGTAAACAACCAAGTTCTAAGTAACTCATGGGTCAAAGACATCTCATGAGAAATTGATGTAGTTTGAATTAAATGAAAATAACAACATAACAGAATTAGTGGGATACAGAATATAGGGAAATTTATAGCACTAAAAATAGAGGGAAATTTAATATTTTTATTTCCATTTTTATTTTCAAGACAGAGTCTCACTCTGTCTCCCAGGCTGGAGTGTAGTGTCACCATCTTGGCTCACTGCAACCTTCGCCTCCCATGTTCAAGTGATTCTTGTGCCTCAGCCTCCTGAGTACCTGGGACTATAGGCACATACCACCACAATGCTTGGCTAATTTTTGTATTTTAAGTGGAGACGAGATTTCATCCTGTTGGCCAGGCTGGTCTTGAAACTGCTGACCTCAGGTGATCCACTCACCTTGATTTCCTAAAGTTCTGGGATTACAGTCATGAGCCCATGGTAAAAGGGAAATTTATAGCATTAAATGCTTATGTCAGAGGCTTTTGAACCAGAGCAACTCCAACTTGAATAGGAGCTGGATAGAATGAGGCTGAGATCTACTTGGTTGGATTCCCAGATGGTTAAGGCATTCTAACTTATAGGATAAGATAGGAGATTGGCACAAGATACAGGTCATAAAGACCTTGCTGATAAAACAAGTTTCAGTAAAGAAGTTGGCCAAACCCACCAAAACCAAGATGGTTATGAGAATAACTTCTGGTCGTCCTCACTGCTATACTCACTCTAGCACCATGACGGTTTACAGATGCCAGGGCAACCTCAGGAAGTTACCCTATATAGTCTACAAAGTGAGGCTTGAATAATCCACCCCGTGTTTAGCATATAATCAAGAAATAACCATAAAAATTGGCAACCAGCAGCCCTCGGGCTGCTCTGTCTGTGGAATAGCCATTCTGTTATTCCTTTACCTTCTTGATAAACTTGCTTTCATTTTGCTGTATGGATTCGCCTAATTCCTTCTTGCACCAGATCCAAGAACCCTCCCTTGGAGTCTGGATCCAGATGCCTTTCCTGTAACAATTAGATTAGAAACCAACTCAATTCAATAAGCTTCTGTCTTTGGGTTTTCCATATAGACAGTTTCTTCTTTTCATTATGTTATTGTATGATTTTCTAGTTGATTTCCTATTTCTTTTATCTTGCTTATTCTTAAGGTCTGGGTCTCTATCTCAACTTTCTCCTTGCTCTGCTGCAATATAGGTGAATTTTCCTAGAGTTCTCTGTGAGTCGTTTTTCTTTTCTGAGCTACTGTTTGGTGTATTGTTTCTGTATTCCTTGAGTTGGGAGTGTGAGGGGAGTAGGGAGGGTAATTCAGCTGGGGTTTTGCAAGCTTTTCTAAAGGACATGGGTTTTGTTTCCCAGGTTTTATTAAGTGTCCTTGAACAAGGTTCATTCCTCCTAACCAGGGAGTATCCTTTTCCTGTGTGGGATGTGCTCAGAGTTGACATGTTTTCCTCCAATATGTTATGTAACTCTAGTGCCTTTTCTTCCACTAGGGAAAAACATCCTACCCCATCTTACTTACTCATTTTCATCTCAATACTTACAGTTCATTAACAAGTCACATTCCTTTAAAGTTCAGTTTTGTTAAATTCCTGTTTATTGTTGGGGATAGTTAGCTCTGCCCGTATTTTAAATGATGTGCCTGAGAGTACCTCATCTCGTCACTAGAATCTAGCTTTTTTACTTAGAGTATGTCTACTCTAAAAATATTTTCAGCTGTGTGTGGTAGGTCATGCCTGTAATCCCAATACTTTCGGAAGCCAAGATGAGTGGATCACTTGAGGTCAAGAGTTCGAGACCAGCCTGGACAACATGGTGAAACCCTATCTCTACTAAAAATACAAAAATTAACTGGGCATGTTGTTGCGTGCCTGTAGTCCCAGCTACTCCAGAGGCTGAGGCAGGAGAATCACTTGAACCTGGGAGGTGGAGGTTGCAGTAAGCAGAGATTGCACCACTGAACTCCAGCCTGGGCTAGAGCAAGACTCTATCTCAAAAAAAAAAAAATTTTTTTTTAGTTTCTTTTCCATGAGCTGCTTATTCATTTCCTCAGTCTACTTTTTTCCAAATTGGGCACCAGTTAAAAACCTCATGATTTTTCTTTTTGATCCCAAAATAAGTAAATTTAATTATTTACAATGTGCAACAATAAAATATTTTACATATTTATGGGATACATATGAGTATTTTTACATATAATGATCAAGTCAGGGTATTTGGGGTATCCATCACCTTAGGTATTTATCATTTCTATGTGTTGGGAACATTTCATCTCCTCTCTTCTAG